GTTTTATGTTGGATAAAAATCATCTCATTCCCTATAAGTGCCCAAAGAACTGTTTATAATGTGATGCTATTATCAGAAGACTTATTTTATCATAAACTGTGGCAGCATAGAAATACATAAAACATAAATATATGTTCCACTGAATGACTTTAGCTATTACTCTATCAAGAAATTGAACATTGCCAGTGTTCTTGGAAAACCATTCTATTTCTTCTCAATTTTTTTAAACTACACTTAGCAGTGCTCAGGGGTTATTCCTGGTTCTGCACTCAGGGATCACTCCTGGCAGTGCTTGGGTACCGTATGGAGTGCCGGGGATCGAACTCAGGTCAATCAGATGAGAGATAAGTACTCTTCAGCCCTTCTCTTCTCAATGTTATCTCCTTCTTAGAGGTAATTAATATCCTAGTATTCACATGAAATATTTCCTTTTCCTTTTTGGGAAGATTTAATGTATTTAATTTCCAAACATATAAATATTTTCCAGTCACTTTTTTTTTCTTTTTTTTTTTTGCCACACTTAGTGGCTCTCGAAATTTACTCCTGGCTCTGTCCTGTCCTTGGTACAATATGGAGTGCTGGGAATCAAACCCAGATCAACCATGTGTGAGGCCTTCCCTGCTTGTATGATCTCTCGAGCCCCTAATTGCTTCTTTTTTTTTGATTTATTTCTTGCTTCCTTGTGGGTAGAAAACCTCCTCAAACTTCAGTTCTTCCTTATAATTTGTTGTGAATGTGTTATGACCTAGTACATTATCAATCTTTGTAAATGTTCTTTGTGTTCTTCTTGGAATATAAAAAGGTATTTTGCAGTTCTTTGCTAGTTTATATAGTCAACCTTTAAAAATATGTTCAAATTGTTCTGTCCTGACATTTTCTCTTTAAATCGTTCATTTGTTGTTATCGCCCCTTGTTGCTGTTCTGTCTCTCAGTTCTAGAATTCTAATTGTTCAAAGTCGCCTCTCACCTTTTGTACTTTTTAGTTCTGGGCAAATATTCAACTCTTAAATTTTACTTCAACCATAGATGTTTTTAGGCCATTCCTGATCATTTTAATGTTGCAAGTCTTCCTGGGTCATTTTTTGCTTCATTTTTCTGTTGCTTCATGTTCAAGGTGTCTTAATTACCTCGTGTATCTGGCTCTCTCTGATTATGTACTATATAATGCAAATGAGAAATTGTCTTTAGATGTATTGGGAGGAATAGGTATAGTTAATCTTCTTGCGCAGTGATGCCATCTCCTTTCTCACCCTGCCCCCCTGGGTTCAGCCTGGCAACTGGTGGTACTACCAATCTGAATGTGAGTCTACCTCGATCTGCGTATATCAGGCAGGTGACAGAAACCTGTCAGTCAAGTCTGTTCAAGGACTGATTTATTACCATTTCCTTTATCCTAGAAATGATTGCTGTAGTTATGAGTAATCGTGATGGATAATCTAGATGATGACTATAAGTGATGGATTATCAAACTTCCCACCTTTGGCTTTTTTGGTGTCTGGATTTGTAAGGGTTTCTAGAAAAAGCCTGTTTTCCTCCCAATTTTTCAGTTTCTTTAAGTGGTTGAGAACTCAACCATTTTGCATCTGTTGAATTTTCTCTCTGGTTTCTTTCTATTCTTTTGCCTTGACTTTTGTCAGGCGATTATAGTTTTGTTAAGTTTCTGGGGGATATAAAGATTTTTTTAATAAAAAGGTATTCCCTTCAGCATTTGTGTTTGTTCAGAAGGGACATATCTTCTAAGTTATTTGGTTATTTGAAAGATGTCTGAGTTATTTGATTATTTGAAAGATGTCTGAGTTGGTATGCTTTTAAAGGATTCAATCAGTGTTATTCATGTAAAATGATAGTTAAATTCAATTTGGCATATCTTTTCCCTTCAGTATGAATGCTCCTAGTTAAAAGACTGCTCTTGACACCAATGTTATGTATTTATTCATACATTTAAATTCTGATTCCCAGTGTGCATTACTCAATTTTGATTTCCACAGAGAATAAATGGGGCCAAATGTTCTTTATGTATACTTATAACAAACTTTGGGGGTGTAGGTCATTTTAATGAGAACGATTTAATTTTTATATTGTTTCCTTTGAATCGAGCCATAATGTTTTTGGCAGAGATGGAGTATTTAAGTGTTTCCTGGATGTTCTTCCAAATCAGCCATTGAGACTGATTCATTCTCAGAAGTACTCTGAGCATTTTATTACCTGGAATGTGATTAACTTTAGCTATTTGTATGCATATGTTCTCATTATTGCTATTTCATCTCAAATGTCAACCTTTCAGAGAGGCTTCTCTGAGTGACCCCTCTCCCTGCTCCCCCCAACCGTGTAATGTTAATCAGTATCTGAAAATCTGAAAAAACCTTTGTGTTTTTGGGCCACTCTCAACCGTGCCCACTGCTTACTCCTGGCTTGGTTCTCAGGCATGACTCTTAGCAGGGCTCAGGGGACCATGTGGTGTGCTCGGGACTGAACCCAAGTCACACATGTGCAAGGCAAAACAACAGTCTTTCTTTGATATCTCTCTGGCCCCATATTCTTTACTTTTATTTATTTATTTATTTATTTATTGATGTATTTATTTATTTATTGCTTTTTGGGTAACACCTGGCGATGCACAGGGGTTACTCCTGGCTCTTCACTTAGGAATTACTTCCTGGTGGTGCTCGAGGGGGTGGTGATGGACCATATGGGATACTGGGAATCGAACCCAGGTCAGCCATGTGCAAGGCAAATGCCCTACCCATTGAGCTATTGCTGCAGCCCCCATATTCTTCACTTTTAAAGGGAAAAGATCTGATCTGAAGTTTCACTTTTTCAGGGCTGCTTCCTGGCCATACCCAGTGGTACTCAGTGGTACTCAGGGAACCATATGCATGCAGTACAGGATTCAAACCAAGGATGTGCTTACAACAACATGCTAGGCAAGCACTTTAACCCTTGTTAAATTTCTCTGATTTTTGTCAGATCCTTTCTTCTTCAGGATATGAGCTTTGTAAAAGCATTAATTCTGAACTTTTACTGCTGTTCAGAAAGCTTGTAACAGTTCACATTCCTACCATCAGTATAAGGAAGGACACTTCTTGGTGTCAGTACTTATCCATAGCTCATGAAAAGAAAATGTTTGATGTTCTTAGGCAGCAGACAAGTCTTGTTTTCCTGGTTTTGAATTATTTCTTCATTTACAGCCAGTTCTGGGGCTGGAGCAATAGCACAGTGGGTAGGGCGTTTGCCTTGCATGCGGCCAACCCGGGTTCGATTCCCAGCATGTCATATGGTCCCCTGAACACGGCCAGGGGTAATTCCTGAGTGCAGAGCCAGGAGTAACCCCTGTGCATCTCCAGGTGTGACCCAAAAAGCCAAAAAAAAGCCAGTTCTTTGTTTCTGTACAGCTGTTGTTCTGGAAATTGGGCTTGGGGACTGGAGAGAGGCCACGGCGCATACTTTTCAGCAGGTGCTTAAGCCTAAGTACAATCCCCCCCAGAGTGACCCCTCTCCCTGCTCCCCCCAACCGTGTAACGTTAATCAGTATCTGAAAATCTGGAGCACCTCTGGGCGGGACCCCTAGGAGTCAGAGGGGAATACTCCCTGCTGTAACCCCCAAATAGACAACAAATAAGTTCTTCTTAGAAAAGGATCCATTTTCTGAAGCAAAGACCTTTCTTTGAAATAACTCCAGTTTCAGAGAACAATGGTGGAGATAACATGAAGAAATTACTGTTCTATAGACCCTCAATACAGATTTCGCACATGTTAACATTTTACCCTGGTTACTTCCTCTTTCTCTTTTTCTAACCCTAAGTTGCACATTTGATGCCCCAGTTCTTTGGAGTTCCTTTTTTTAATCGTTTGGTTTGATTTTCTTTTGGACCCACACTCTAAAGCAGTGCTCACCGCCCCTCCTGGTGAGGCATGTGGGGGTTACTCCCAACGGTACTGTAGAGCCGTCAAACTTTGTATTGATGATTTTAGTATGTATTGATGATACCTGCCTGAAATTAGTCTTAGGAGGGGGTTGCCAAATGGTGATTTTTTCCCCCTAATTCAATTATTCCATTTGTTATTTGAAATTGTACTTCAAGGAAGAGACTTTCCTTCTCCAGTTATTTTGTCAGTGAGGACTGATACATTAAAATTTTATTCTATGGATGATAGTCTTCTACTATCATTGTTTCTTTTGCTGTTCAGATGTTCTTCATTTGACCAATGGGACTCCTTTCAGCTGATTCCTGTGTTCTTTAGATATATCCTCTTCATTTGTTGTTCCCGTTTATTTTCTCACTTGCTGGCGCCACAACATTATATCCCAAGATCATATTATATGTTTCCTTGGCATAGCCAGGAAATCAGCTCCTAGTTCCTTTTTCTTTTCTTTCTTTTTTTTGGTAGCATACAGCTCATGGCTGTTTGAGTGCTGTTTCTTCTATTTCTACATATATATGTATATTTGCGTACATATCTATTTCTGCATATCTCTTTAGTAAGAACTCAGTTTATATACCTCACTCCCGTTATAAGCTTTTCCCTTTTTATGCTTATAACTTTTATGACAATAAGGAACCAGTATATTGGTTCTTGTGTCTCTCTTGCTCCCCAATATATTTATTTGGACAATCCTAGAAGATGCATGGCATTTAAAATTTCTTTGTGAAAATAGAGTACAATATTTGTATATATTTCTTCATGTCTTTAGCCTAAAGAGAGAGTGTAGTTAAAATATCATTTTTAGAGTTACCTGGTAATCCTTCTCTCCTTCCTCTCCCCCGCCCCCATCCCTCTCAGTGCGGTTGTATTATTCATTTCCTATGAAGTTAAGTACATTTATTCATTTGTATTCCATTTTGGGTTCTTCCAACCTATCATTATTACTATTTTTTAAAAATATATGAAGCATTAACATGGTTTTACAATAACTATAAAAGGTAGCATGTTATTATACATTATGTGTTATACAGTACTGTGATATATAGAACTTATGTTTTTTGTGTTCCTTCTTTCAGGGAATCATTTATACGTCACATTAAAACAAACATGTGATGTTCCTGCCAACCTGTGAGAATTTCTCCTTTCAAGACTTTATTTTACTTACTATACAAATTGCCCAGTTCTTTTGGATGCCATGTTCTGTGGCTTGCATCTGAAGAGGAGTTTGTCTTCATGAAGATTCCTAACATTGGTAATGTGATGAATAAATTTGAGATCCTTGGGGTTGTAGGTGAAGGTAAGTTGAGCATTTCTTAAGTTTTTGAGCTATATATTAGTTATATGAACCATCAAAAATCTTCCTAATTTAGAGCCTGTAATTTATCATCAATTCAAATATGTGCATAAGAATAAATATAAAAAAAACCACTGTAAACTATTTGACTGTTACTCTTCAGTTGGAAGTTTAGGGGCTTGAGAGATAGAACAGGGATAAAGGTGCTTACCTTGCATATGACTGATCCCTGGCACCACATATGGCCCCCTGAGTACCACCAGGAGTGGGCCCTGAGCACTTCCAGGTGTCGCCCGAATACCCCCTTACCCTTTAAAGTTTAGTAAATTGGACTTCCTTCCTTCCTTCCTTCCTTCCTTCCTTCCTTCCTTCCTTCCTCCCTCCCTCCCTCCCTCCCTCCCTCCCTCCATTCCTCCCTCCCTCCCTTCCTCCCTCCCTCCCTCCCTCCCTCCTCCCCTCCCCTTCTCTCTTTTTGTCTCCTTTCACTTTTTGTTTTTGGGCCACACCCATGGTGCTCAGGTCTTATTCCTGGCTCTGTGCTCAGGGATAACTACTGTTCGGGCTTGGGGGACCATATGTGGTGTCAGGAATGGAACTTAGATTGGCTGCATGCAAGGCAAGTGCTCTACCCACTCTACTGTTTCTGTGGCCTCCAAATTGGAGATTTCTCTAAGGTTGTCTTCATTTCATTCTTTCTGTGAGTGTGCTACTTTTGGTTACATCTTATTTTTATTTTGGGAGTCACTGCTAGCAGTGCTAAGGGCTTCCTCTTGGCTCAGTGTCTCAGGGATCACTCCTCATGGTGCCAGGTTGGTTGTGTGCAAGGCAAGCACCCTACCTGCTGTACTCTCATTTTATTTTTATATTAGGTCTATATGAATACATTTACCAGTACCCCCTCCACCAGTTGGGCTTGTTTTGTTATGAATGATTATTATCTATAGGGGCCGTAGCCAGCAGAGTTGGGGTTGGTGGCTTGTCAGACTTGTCCCTTGCATTGCTCTGCCTGGCAGTTTGGTGCTGGGGTGGTTGTGCTTCCTCAGTACTTGGGACTACAGTGATACCTGTTGGTGTTTAGGGAATCATGCAGTGCAGGGGACTGAACTCAGGACCTCATATGCGCTAAGCACTAGAGCTAAACATGTCCACTATCTTCCTGGCCCCAGATAGGATTGTTTTGAATAGCAAAATTGATGTAAGCTATGTTTTATTTAAAAGATCGTGAATTACTAACCTCTATTTGTCTTTTTGAGAATGACAAACTACATTTTGTAAGCTCTGAGACTCACATTTGGTCATAGTTTAATATTGCCAAAATCAGAATGTGTGTAATAATCTGTAGGAGCATGTCATGGTTTAATTGACAATATTTTTTCTTTTCTAGTAGTACACAAAATAATGCTCACAATCAATGATGTCATTGACGAAATATGATTAATTCATTTCTCATAAGTCTTCCTTATTTTTCTCTCTTAATTTTTCTCTTAAGGAAAGCTTTGTGGAGAGTTTGATAAATGATTCTGTAAACGGGGAACAAGTGATTAAAATTTTGTTTTCTTAGCATTTTTATCTTTTAAATCAACTTAAAAATTTTATATCTCAGAAATTTCAAATATATTCAGAATATAAAAGAAACTTAAAAATTTATCCATTCGGGAACCAAACATGTTTTGGATTTTTTTTTTTGTTTCTTTTGCTTGTTTTTGGGCCACTGTCAGTGCTCAGGGCTTACTCCTGACTGCACTTGGGGATCAAGCCATGTGGGCATGTGCAAGGCAAACGCCCTTCCTGCTCTATTGTCTCCTCAGGGATCAGCTCAGATTGAGTAAAATGACCAGACTAATATTTAAGTCAGAACATGTCAGCTTAAGTTGTAATCACAACTTTATTTTTAATTTTTTTTTTGAGTCACACCTGGCGATGCACAGGGGTTCCTCCTGGCTCTGCACTCAGGAATTACCCCTGGTAGTACTCAGGGGACCATTTGGGATGCTGGGAATCGAACCCGGGTTGGCCGCGTGCAAGGCAAACGCCCTACCCGCTGTGCTATTGCTCCAGCCCCGTAATCACAACTTTAGATGCTTTTTGGCTAAGGAACAAATGTATGTACTTAGCAAATTAAAACTGTCAAACTCTACCTTCTTATAGCATGGATAGACCCCCCCATTAAGAAACAAAGAGTAATGAGTTGGGAGGGGGATGTACAGTTAGTGAGGGTCGGTTGATTAACTGCCTGATCATTGTGGAATTAATTTGAATAGCTGTAATGACTGGTTCCATTCTAACTGTGATTCATCTGTCTCCACCAAAGTGTGGAAGACTTGTTCTGGTTTCCCGGAAGTGATTGGAGACATGGTTCACAATTCCATCTCCCTGGAATCCCTTTGTCATATGGCCAACCCCAGTTCAGTTTCCAGCAGCAACTGGTCCCCCAAGCACTGCCAGGGCGTGTCCCAAAAATAATAATAAAGCTTTTCTTTTATCATAAGTATTCTTGATATGTCTACACACCTGTTGCTATGCCTAACATTTTGATTCTTGTAATGAGAATTTTTGCAGTAGAACTTTAGCGTTAGTTTCCTGGTTAACTTTCTGTCAACTCTGTACTGCCTCTAAAAAAGTAGTTTATTTGCTAGATAGTGGAATAAGTAACCCATGAAGTCTTAATGATTAATCTCATTGAAATATACCAAAGTGCATGGGAGTGCTTAGCTGTAAATGGCCAGAGATCCTTGGATTGCTTGTGACCCGTGCTCTTGGATTGAGGTTTTAGGTCAAAAAGTGTTTCTGTCTCCTACTAGGTATTAATTGGAATGCTGAACGCTGAGCTGAAGAGAGAGTGCAGGGTTAAGGTGTTTGTCTTATATGTGGCCAGCCCCAGTTCAGTTTCTGGTACGTGGTTTCCCAGGCACTGGCAGGTGTGGCCCAAAAGTTAAAAAAAAACAAACAACCAAACTAAAGCACCCCCTCCCCCCACAACTCCTGCACAGGAAAGAAAATAAAACACCAGAAAACAAACTAAAGCCCCACCCCTGCCCCCAGAAACAGCCTCCCCTGCAGAGTCCCCCCCCCCCCCCCCCCATACACACACACAAACCAGAAAATCCAGTAATTGGAGTGCTGGAATTTTCACTATTTTTCTAGTTAGGAAAGATATTCCTATGTCCTAGAAGGCTAAATATCTCCTAGGACAGAGAATCTGGCTGATAGACTCTGTGCTTGAGCTTGAATCTTTTTGAGTTAATTTTCAATTACTTTTAAATATCTTATGCTAAAATTTCATCTCTAGAAATTTTAAAGCTTACATTATAAAATTTCATGTGCTATTTTCTTTAAAATGTCACACTTTAAAAATACTTGTGTGTCTGGGGCGGGGTGTGGGGGGTGCAGAGCAATAGTATAGCACATAGGGCACTTGCCTTCCGCATAGCTGACTTGGGCTTGATCCTTGGTCCCCTAAGCCCCTCAAGGACTGCTCCCTGAGCACAGAGCCAGGAGTAAGATTTGATCAGGTCCAGGTGTGCCCCTTCCCCGCAAATTTAAAAAAATAAAATGTAAGTACTTGTTGGCGATTGGGTTGCTAACACTTTGTTTATAAAACATTTTTATGTGACTATCACTGTATCAATGTCATCCTGTTGTTCATCGATTTCCTTGAGCAGGCACCAGTAATGTCTCCTTCGTCCTAGCCCTGAGATTTTAGAAAGTGCCACATTCGAGGCTCTTTCAGGGTCAGGGGAATGAGACCCATCATTGTTACTGGGTTTTGGCATTTCGAATAAGTCACGGGGAGTTTGCCAGACTCTGCCGTGTGGGCAGGGTACTATCAGTAGTCTGCCAGGTTCTCCAAGAGTGAGAACTAAACAATAAGAGGTCAGCCAGGCATGGAAGCAGGAGACTCTGTGCTGTTCTCTTTTGGGAGCGGAGTTTTATAATCTCTGGGTCTTGGCCGTTGATGGGATAACATGGCGCCTGGGGGGCAGTTGGTGGGTGTAACACCTAGCTACTGGAAGATGGGGGATCTGGGTGGAGGAAGCCCAGCCCTGATCCGAGCAGGCTTGGAGATCTCAGCCCCGGTGTATGTGACTATATGAAATGTAAAATATATTTTATATTTTAATTTGTATATGACTCATTGCATTGTCATTTTAGAAATTGTTATTCTAGCATATACTTATAATCAGTATAAATATATCAGAACTTTGGCTTTTCTAATACCTGTAATTTGTATACATGCTTTTAATTGTTTGCTTCTTTTTGGTTATAGGAGCCTATGGAGTTGTACTTAAGTGCAGACACAAGGTAAGCCCATGGTTTTCATTGCAGGGGCCACAGCTGGCAGGGACCACTCCCAGTACACCTGGCAGTGCTCAGCTGTGCTGAGTGGGGGAGCCACATTGTGGCCTTCCCCATGCATGGCCTCTGCTCTGCTGCCTGAGCCACATCCCGGGCCCAGTACATGTTTTTTAAAATGACAGTATCTGTAAATGTTTAACTGTTTTGAAACGAATGTAATCTTTCGTGCATCTGGCATATAATTAAAACTGTCTGGGTGTCTGGCTATGATGCTGATACTAATGAGGTGAGCCCAGAGAAAAGAGGCTTTATCGTGATTGGGTTTATGAGGGGGTTGCAGTCACATGCTAGCGTTTCCACCAACCTGTAGACGGGCGAAAAGCTGTCTAAGGGGAAGAGAAAAAGAAGAATTCAAGATTTAATTCCTGTACAAGTACTTATAAGGTAGGAGGAATTTCATTTAGTCAGAATTTTTCAAGGTGATCCAGTACTGAGCAGAGTGCCTGATGAATATCAATCCAGATTTTGAAGGAAAATGAATAAGAGTTTGAGATAAAATAGGGCTTGGGATAATAGTATATGAGGATGATTACTGGCTAGAATTGATCACTTCTGAGCAGTCTTGTTGGGGATTGGAACAAATATTATGGATTACTTCATAATGATAGTAATTTCCAATTGATTACTTGGGAAGTCTTTTCAGATTTATATAGCTGTTGCTAAGTGGAAAGTATGTTTTGCTTAGAGTCTTAAATTTAAGATGACTAGTATTGAACCTGTAATAGTTTCAAACATTTGGTTAAATATTTTTCTATTCTGATGTCCCTAGAGTACTAATATCTGTCTTCATATTGTTTCGCATGTAATTTGTTAAGACCATGTTTTTATTTTTTTGTGGTATTTTATAGTGATCTAGAAATTTTGAGGTGAACTTACATACTTTTAAGCCACATGTAGGTAAATATGTATGAATATATGATCTTAAAAATATTTTTATGTTTGATTTTTTTCCTATTGTACAAAATATAATAACTATTTTAGATTTATGCTTTCATGATAGTTGACTTTGGGCCGATTTGGGTCAGAGATTTTATTAAATGAATTTTCTATTTTTCTTGAAATTGGGTATTTTAATTTATTTGCATTGGTAATAGTTATTCAAAGAGCTTTGCCAATAAATCTTTAAAAATAGTTTGAGTCCTTGGGGCCAGGGTGATCGCACAGTAGGTAGTGCACTTGCTTTGCACCCAGCCAACCTGGGTTTGGTTCCTGGCATCTTATAGGGTTCTCTGAGCACCACCAGGAGTGATTCCTGAGCATCACCAGATGTGGTCCAAAAACAAAGCAAAACAAAACAAAGAAATTTGAGTACTATTGGTTCTTGATTCTGGATATTTATCCAATTTCAAATAATGTAAATGTAATACTTTGACGATTTAAAATTAATTAATTTAGTTTTTGATCATTTTTTAAAGAAATATTTTCAAAGTTTGAATTTCAGTAAAAGGAAAGTTCTTTGATGAAATGCTATGGCTTTAATTATTTGTTCTAAGTTAATATTAATCTTAATCTTTAAAATAATAGAATTCCTGAGTAGGCACTACTCAGAGGAAAATAGGTTGTTGGATTCCAAATTAAATCTGACTCTTCATGAGCATACTGCCATTTGTATTATTGTTCCGTTTCTAACGTAGCAAATGAAGCTTCACTTGTTAATCTGTGATTTAAAATCCAAGGATTTCTGATAGGAAATGGAAATTTGTGATTTTTTTTCAGTCTTTGTCACACTTATTCATTCCCTTATACTTTTTTTTGATATTATCTAAACTCCCCTGCCTTTTATATAAAAATAAAGGTCGTTAATTAAGTACATTATTTTTATCGTTCCATGTGACTGGTTTACTGGTTTGTTAGAATATGCTTGTTTCCCACCCATGGCGCTCATAATGCACTATTCATGCGAGAAGGTGGGCTCAGAGAGAAAGTGGATGAGAACAGGCATCTGCTCTTGAGAATTCAACCGTAAATGTGAAGTCTGATTCCTAGTGACTAGTGATAAGCCGCTTTGACTTAAAGCACAAATTGTTTGTTTGATTGTTTATTTGTTTTTGCCCTTGCATGGCTTATAGTATGTCTGAAGAGATAGAAGAATAGATATTTAAAATTAGCCAGTAAAGTTGCCACAAATGAGACTGCATCTAAAAAATATTTCTTTTTATTGCTCTGGACTAAATAAGGGGCTTATAGATTAGCTCTCTAAGTATTGTTGCTCTGTTGCTTTTTTTCTTTCATGCAACTAAAAAGATGTCACTGAATCAGAATTTAAAACATAAATTAGTGCCTAACTCAGAGCAAAAGAAAACTCGTTTTAGAATCTGCAGCTGTTTAGTCGTTAGATTTCTTGTAGTATATCCTTTCTCGGCTATAATCAGACCTTCAAAATTTACCCTATTCAAAAAATAGAGAATTTGATGCTTCTTGTAAAATTTATCTTTTAGGATCAAATAGATGTATTGCTATGAAATTGCATGTTATAATAGAAATAGAAATGTTCCCTCTTGTTCTACCATTATATGTAAAATAATCATGCCTGTATATTTTGTGTACCTTCAAAAATTGAAGAAATGTTTATAAAAATCAACAAATTAGTACTTTGTGATTATGCGGAGCTCTGTGTGATCACTTAAGCATAAGTTTGCTTTTTTTGAGAAAGTTGGCTGTAAATACACACAAACATATGTAATTAACTAATTCTTAGCCTACTCTATATTTGAACACATATGGAAGAAAGTCATGTTTTAATTTGTGCACCATTATAAGAAATTTGAAGTCATGTTTCTAAAGAGGTATATCTTGTTTGGTGAAAACAATATGATGTTATGCTGTTACAGATCAAAGACTGTACTTTGCTGAAATAAATGCTGCTCAATTAAAGGAAAATGTAGCTTCTGTATATTGTTAAATATGCACATTGATATATATATATGTATATATATATATATATCAATTCTTAGTAAAGACGTGAGGCTATTTATGGCTTCTGGTGACTAGTCTTGCTTGGAAGAATTTCTGATATGAGCCTTTACCCTGTTGATAAGCATTTCTGATTTTCTTTGCATGTCTGCTTTGAAGTGCCGGTGAGAGAGGTGGCGTATTTTATAGCCGACTCCTCTTTGCAGAGGCCCAAAGAGGTCCTACTCACAGCACAGTAGGGGGAACGGAATGGAGCTGAAGTAGGGAGCTGCAGTAAGGTGTGAGGCAAAAGAGGTCGTGTCTCCTGACAGAGGTTGGAGGGCAATGCTAACTGAGCACAGGACAGTGAAGTACTGACTCATGGTTATTTTCTTGTGACAGGGATTGACTTAAGAGTTTTTGTTTTACCTCATTTTTTGCTTTGTTTTTGTTTCTGTTTGGGGGCCATTCCTGGTGATGCTCAGGGGTTACTCCTGGCTCTGCACTCAGGAATCACTCCTGGCAGTGCTTGAGGGACCATATGGGGTTCCGGAAAATAGCTAACATGAATAAGAGAATTATGAAATGCTCTCTACCTTCTAAGAGAGAGTGCAGAACAGAAAGAAAGATATGTTTCAATGGTCAAACTAAAAAGACAGGAAGGTAGAACTCTTGAAGCTAAGGAAGAAAGATTTTTGAAAAATTGATATTCACCAGTGGTATAAAGTGATGAGATAAGAATTGAGAGATAAGAAAATCCATATTGAAATCCACGATGAGAAGGATAGCGGGATGAGAAAATCCGTTTTGGTGAACAACACCATTTATTTATAATCTCTTTAAGTGAAATAATAAGAGTGAATGCTAATTTTAAGAGGTTAAGGAGAGGGCTAGGGAGCTAATACAGGGTTGGGCTCTTGCTTTGCATGTCACCTACTCAGATTTGATCCATGGCACCCCATAGGGTCCCCTGAGCTGCCATGAGTGATCCCTGTCTGCAGAGCCAAGAGTAAGCCCTGAGCACTACAGGGTGTAGCAATGTCCCTCCCCTCTGCCCCCCCACAAAGAAAAAAAGAGGTAAAGGAGAAAGTAGGAAAAAAATCTTGATTATGCTGTGTTTTTGTTTTGTCTCCTTTGAGAGTTGAGGAATTGTGGTCAGGAGTAGTAAGAAGAGTAGATTTGATTAAATATTAACTGGGAGAAATATGTTTCTACCTTTTAAATAGCATTCTCTGTTATTTAATATTCATAATTTATCTTTTATATTATGTCTTTATTACCGGGCGTTATACATTTTGAATCTTAGGAATCATTAGAACCTTTTTTTTCTTATTCAGATTGATTTTATTTTTCCACAAAAAGATGAGACAGGATTTGGTTACTTTCAAAACAACAAACCTTATTTAAGAAGATACTTGAGGAAAAGTCAATGAAGCATCACCAATTTAACAGATTATTTATTGCCTGCGGTCTAGAACCACAGTTATTTTCTACTAAAATAAAATAAACTTTGATTGTTTCAGGGTTTTCTATATTAATAAAATAATGGTTTTGTATAATTTTTAGTTTCAGATTTTTTCCTGCAAAACTTATGATGAGCCAGCAATGAGAAACTGAATATATAGATTAGTTCTACTCTTAACTAAACTATTACTATTTTAAGTTTTATTTCATTTTTTGTTTCCAATACTGTTGATAATGATTTCTCACAGACATAATTCCCATATCATACCCATTAGTTATATTATTTGCCTTTCTTTTCTTTTCTTCCTTTTAAAATAATTAAAAACAAGACATGGGTCCAGGCTTTTTCTATTTTTCTATGCAGAATTTCTAGTATTTGAAGATAATTATATAGAAACTTTTTTTTTTTTTTGGTGGAGCGTTAGCAGTGCCCAGGAATCTCCCCTGGCTCTGTACTTAGGGATGATTCCTGGCGGGGCTCAGGTGCTGTGGATCAATCCAGTTCAGCTGCAGGTGAAAGGCAAATGGCTTCTCCACTGCTATACTCTTTCTCTGGCCATAATTACTTTCTCAATGATAACTTTTTTCAA